CTGATATAAGATGGAGCTTGGCCATTTAAGGCTTTATATGTGAGAAGGAGGATTTTAAATTCTATTCTTGATTTAACAGGAAGCCAATGAAGAGAAGCCAGGATAGGCGAGATATGATCTCTCTTTTTAATTTTCATTAGAACTCTGGCTGCAGCATTTTGGATCAGCTGAAGGCTTTTAACTACAGTTTGTGGACTTCCTGATAGTAAAGAATTACAATAGTCCAGCCTTGAAGTAACAAATGCATGGACTAGTTTCTCAGCATCACCCCTGGACAGGATATTTCTAATTTTTGCAATGTTCCTCAGATGAAAGAAGGAAATTCTAGAAACCTCCTTGATATGGGACCTAAATGACAGGTCCTGATCAAAAACAACACCAAGATTTTTTACTTTATTATCTGAAATCAGTTTAATCCCATCCAAATGAAGTGACTGGCTAATCAGTTTCTTTTTCAGAGACTCTGGTCCAAAGACTATAACTTCTGTTTTGTCTGCATTCAGAAGCAGAAAGTTAAGAGTCATCCAGGTTTTTATGTCTTCAAGACATGCCTGTAATCTATGTAATGGGTTAGCTTCATCTGGATTTATAGACAGATATAGCTGGGTATCATCAGCATAACAGTGGAAATTAATCCCATGCTGTCTAATAATTCTACCAATTGGGAGCATGTATAAAGTAAAGAGAATTGGTCCTAGCACTGATCCCTGTGGTACTCCACAGGTAACCTTTGAGCGTGTTGAAGATCTATCATTAACATGAACAAACTGAATTCGATCAGATAGATAAGATTTAAACCAGTCTAGTGCTGTTCCTTTAATTCCAACAAAATATTCAAGTCTTTCTAAAAGAATATTATGGTCAACTGTATCAAATGCAGCACTAAGATCCAACAGGACGAGCACAGATACAAGTCCATTATCTGAGGCCATGAGAATATCATTAGTGACTTTCACCAGAGCTGTTTCAGTGCTATGATGAGCTCTAAAGCCAGACTGAAACTCTTCAAAAAGTTCATTATGGTGGAAGTGATCGCAAACTTGTTTGGCAACTACTTTCTCAAGAATTTTGGATAAGAAAGGAAGATTGGATATAGGTCTATAATTGACCAAGTCATCTGGGTCAAGAGACGGTTTCTTAAGCAGAGGTTTAATTACAGCAACCTTAAAAGCTTTAGGTACATATCCCTGTAACAGAGATAGATTAATCACATCTAAAATGGAGGAGGAGATCAAAGGGAATACCTCCTTAAATAACCTGGTTGGAACTGGATCTAACATACAAGTTGAAGGCTTAGATGAAGACAATAATTTTGCTAATTCAGAGAGTTCAACTGGATCAAAGCAGTCTAAACCCAGTTCAGATTCCATGACTACCTCAGGTACAATCGCGGATAGAGGAGTGCTTATGATCTTATTTTTAATAAGATCAATCTTATTTATAAAGAATCCCATAAAGTCATTGCTGCTAAGAGCAGGTGGAATGGACGGTTCAACAGAGCTATGGCTCTGGGTGAGTTTGGCAACTGTATTAAAAAGAAATCTAGGATTATTCTTATTCTCCTCTATTAATGAGGAGAAGTATGCTGCTCTTGCTTTACAAAGGGTCCTCTTATACAGCAGTAAACCATTTTTCCAGACTAGGAAGGACTCTCGCAGGCCTGTGGAGCGATATTTTCTCTCCAGTTTCCTAGCATTTTGCTTCAAATTAGGCCTATGCCTCTTGCGCCTTAGCGCGGGATGTTTTCTGAACAGCCCCGATGTTACACCTATAATAGGTATAAGATGCATTAAACCCCGAAATGAGTACAAATTAAAGATTTATAATAAAAAAAAACAGTCAGGTTTGTTTCTACTGTATTCTATGCTTCCAATCACCCACCACCACCTGACAATGAGTGAAAAGAAAATGGAAACTGATTATTAACGCTCACGCGGTACTGCGACTGCACACCTACAGGCTCCCCAGGCATGGATGGATTGGGAATCCAGGGCTGTTTTTGCCAGCTTCATTCATTACTCGTACAGGTTAATCATCTCATTATCTCAAAAAATAAATAACAGTTTTTTTGTGATAACGAGAAAATTATCTTGTTATCGCGAGAAAACAATTAATGCTTTAACCGTGATCGAACTTTTTGGTTCGATTCAATTCTCTCTGTAAAACTGAATTGAATTGTAAAACATCACTTAACCGTGATAACATGTCTCCCTAATCAACATTCTCTTTCAAAAATAAATTGCGTGTTTCTATCAAATGCAGAACACCGTTGGGCTTCCTGAGCTACAGTTTTATATGCATGCGTTTTATTATGCTCATGCATGAGTTAGTCAGAGGTTAGACAAATGTTCATTATGTTTTGCATTTAAACTGTTTCGTCTCCAGTCACTGCCTCAGCAAGAGAGCTGCCTATTTTAACTTTGCATTCAAAACATCTACCACGAGAAGATTGCCTGGAAAAAAGACATGTACATGCATACTCATCCAAACAGTGAGGCAGTCTACTTTCATTCTCTCATGGGAGACTGAAACTTAATTATCCCTCTCCTTTCTGCTGGAGCTCTCCTCCAGCTTCTCCTGATCAGCCATGTTGGATGATTTCAGAGTACCCCTTTAAACATATTTTTGGCATGATAGAAATTTTGAAGTGATATTATTTTTTGGCATTTTAACTTCTGTAAATGTATAAGTACTTGTGGTCCAAATTATGAGAGAATCGCCTGGGTGTGTTGTTGATTGATTGATTGACTTTATTGATCTTGCAGTGGAGAAATATACTCATTACATCAGCTCAAATAATCATAGGAGAAGAGGAAGGTGCCAAAGGAAGACAAAGGTGCATGGGATATATACAGTATAAAAAGTGCGTCCACATATGCCTTTGTTTTTATAGCAGGGTTATTATACAGGGTTATTGCACAGGGTGTTAACATGGGTTGCTATTCTAAAAATGCCAATAAATAATAAGTAACGATTAATTTTTAAGTTTTGTATTTTCAAATGTATTCCATATTACTTCTAGTGTGACAATATTTGTATATAATATGAAATAACTGCTTTGAACAGAAACAATATGTTCCACATGGTTACATACTTATGTGCCAAAAATATTTTACGTACAGTAATATATTTGCATTATTCTGATAAAGACTTTTGCAGAAATTATGAATATATACCTTACCAGCTAAGCATATTAACTTTTTTAATCAAACTTTCCCATTGCTCCCTGTATTACCGGTATATAGATTTAGGAGGGACAGATGCGCTTACCAGTAACAAATTAAAAGCAGGTTTACCTTAATTGGATACAAGTCGGGCTCCTTTAGTTTCCATTATAAGATTCTTTGCATTTTCTTTGCTGAAGGAAATGGTATCAATCAGCCAAACTTCTCTTTCTGTTGCTATAATAGAGATTATTTAGGAGCATCAACCAGCTGACCAGTAGTAGGATTGAGGACATGGAACGTCTCGACTCCATGCAACTGTAAAAAAGTTTGCAGGTTCTGGCATGTCCCCTGACATGCTCTATAAAGAAAAAATACAAATAAATAAACCTCAATAACTGTTTAACAAGCCACACAAAGGGTGCAATTGTTAATGCTGCTGTTTTCCAGCAAGACAACCTGTTTGAATCCTGGTCTTTCTGCATTGTTTGCATGTTCTCCCTGAATATCTGAGGCTTTCCTTAGAAAGTCTTCTTCCCACGGTTTAAAAGCATGACTCTTAGATTAATTGGTTACTTTAAATTGCAACACATATTTTTATGATTATAAAACACATTTTAAAATGAGACAAAGAAAGCTTGAGGAAATACAGAACACCTGCTTTCAAATTCTGATTTCACTCAAAGGAAAAACGACACACAACCAACCTAGAACATATTTATGGGGAAACTGATTTCAGTTTTCGTTTCCATAGCCTGGTCAGATGGAACTGTGAAATCAGTAAATAATCTAAAACAACCTGTACAGCTATATGAAATAGACATATCATACACTGATTTACGGAACAGAAGATGAGAAACCAGGTAATGAACATCCGGTGGAAGAAGACCCTTTTAAAGGCTTTAAGACAGGGGTCTTCAATGTTTTCAAGGCCAAGGACCCGCAAACTGATGGCGAGATGGAGCTGGGACCCACTAATTATATATTTTGTATGAAATTGTGTTATATCAAACTGGTCCTACAGTCACTCTATTGCAGATGGAGTAATGTAAGGAAAGTAATCCCTCCCAGGGATTATTAAAGTATTTCTGATTCTTATTCCTGGTTGATGGGACAGGTGTTGTAAATGAAACGGTGCCCAGCTTGAAAGAGCTCCTGTGTGTTGCTTAATGTTTGCATTGATGACTGAAATCTTCTGCCTCCATTTATCTGTTTACTGCAGTGTGTTGAATTCATGTTCATGTTTATTTAAAGACATTTCAATTAGTGGAAAAAATTGCAGGGGTTAATATATATATAAAAAAAAAGTCATCAACCTAAACTTTTGCGACCCCCATGCAGTACCTCCGTCGCCCCCCTAGGGGTTGCGGACCCCCTGTTGAAGACCTCCGCTTTAAGACACCACAATGCTTATGCACAAGGCTGTCATTTCTATTTGGCTCCTCATAAAAAATACGGTGGAGTCAGCTCAGAATCATCTGCTTTTCTTAATTCTTATCAAAAATCTATTAAAATTTTTTTCACAGTGATAAAAACATTGAAATGGGAGCAGTCTTCTCTGCTTTATACTGTCAGCTTAAACACTAAGATGTCTGTGCCGATCTTGCATGAGCTCTGCCTAATGAGAATAACTAATTGGAAAAGATGTGTATGAAAAGAATTAGACCCTCTAGCATTTTAACATCAAGACCTTCCCACGTGTTACTTCTCCCTGGTTATTATCCTTATATGTCTATTTTATTCAGCTTGACTGTAGCTCTGCTGAAGGGTTTTGTTTTAGTGACATTAAGATGTATTTTAAAATAACTGTTTGTACTTTTTTTGTCTTGTACGTAGATGATCCAAACCAGCAAAACCCTGATCGAGTCAGCTGATGTCGTCTACTCAAAGCTCACACAAGCACAACGGGCAGGTATGCAGCATGAAACAATTAAGATACTTTTCATATGTAAATTTGAGCAATTTGAGTATTTTCTTAAAAACCCATATTGTCTCTTTCTTTAACATTATTTATTTTTTTCTTTTCTTACAATATTCAGAATATAAAGAAAAGAGCACATCATTATATTTTGATAATTCAGCAGGCTATTTAAATGTTTGAATGAAAAAAAAAAAGTTTTTTCCACTCAATGTTTAGCTTAGACATTTTAAGATGTAAAAAAATAGGAACAGAATTTAAAGAACTGAAATAAAGAAAGAATAAGATGGAATAGAATAAAATATGTGAAATACGTGGCTCTAACAGTCTGTCTGACTACTAGGGGTGTGCAAAATAATCGTGATGATGATGCATCGTGATTCTAATTTTCGTGATCTACTGCATCGATTCTTGATGTCAAGAATCGATTATTAATTAAAAAAAATGAATAAATAAAATTGCATGAATGGTTGGCGAACATCAGCCAAAAACAAGTGTAATACAACTTCCAGTCCAGTAGATGTCGCTGCAAATGTGTTGACGCACGCTGCCTTGTGTCACAAGCATTTCCGGCCGTGGGATACTGTGCCGAGTCATTCAAAAACAAAACATGGAGGACAAAATATTGCAATGCATCGCAATAATTCAAGTATCGTGATGCATCGTGATAGAATCGCATCGTGGCCTGTGAATCGTGATTCGAATCGAATCGTGACTTCTTTGGCAATACCCACCCCTACTGACTACATGCCAAATGATGGCAAGGCAAGGCAAGGCAAATTTATTTGTATAGCACAATTCAGTACAAAGACAATGCAAAGTGCTTTACATGATTAAAATACAGGAAGATAAAACAGAATCAAAGCAAGTAAGAAAAAATAAAAAATGAATAAAATAAAATAAAAAAATAAAAAATGCAGAAACAAAAAAGAATATTAACAACAGTTGGGTTAGCATTTGATCAAAAATTTCTCCTTGGGCAGTTGACAATTCCCCGGAACCTTGCCTTTTGTTCTACTACCATACTGTAGAACTGCAAAACCTTTCCCATTATCTACAGGTAATTTAACTCTGCCCGATATGCAATTTAACTCTGTCCGATACACACCAATCCTATGCCAACCTGGATAACTGGGGGGGATCCCACTCTAGATTACCGACGTCTCAGTAAAATTAAGTACCTTCTCGTGGCACCCACAACCTTCCTCTCACTCACTTGATGTCGATGAAGTGGACGTAAGTCTTGATATATTGATTGATGGATTGATTGATCAATTTATTGATTTTATTGCAATCACAGTGGAGAAATTTACCTGCTACATCTACTCAAATGGTCAAAAGGAGAAGGAGAAGGTGCCAAAGAAAAGGAAAAAAGTGCATGGGGTATATACAGTATATACAGTGCTTCCACATATGACAGCTAAAGTATCTTATTTAGCTGGATTACTGCACAGGGTATTTACATGTGTATTTATATAGATGGATATTATATATAGCTATATATATCATTATATATATAACTATATATATCATTATATACAGCTTGTTTGAATTTGTTTAGGTTTCTGTTTCAGAGTGCTTCAAACATTATTTAAATACCATCATGTGGTTTTACTACACTTAAGGATGAACTGTGGTGAACTCCATTGGATATTGATGTCACTTCAAAACTAACACTAAAAAGAACGGCTTTTCTATCAGTTAATTCGCTGCAACAAAATTGTAATTTGATAAACCATTATTTGAAAATCAGTAGGATTTTCAAATAAAGGATCTATTTACATCCTTAGCTGAAGTTCAGCTGCTAAAAAATGTATCCTGAAAAAAATATATGTAGCCTATGTAAAAATAAACACAAATATAGTGCATTTCAGGACCAAAGTGCAGCTGAATGCTTTTAAGCCATATGGTGGGTGAATGAATAAATAAAACAGAACCTGCACATGGTGATACAATGTAGGATCCATTGGACACTAATGGGAGAATGACAGCTTAAATAGAGCAAGTAATGAGGAAAAACAAAGGTGAACACAATCTTATTAACTTGTTTAAGAGGAAATGGGTTTATATCAAGATTAATAGACAAACAGAAGATATACCAAAATTACATTTAGAAAAGACAAAAAAACAATTACAAATGCTAAAAAAATACACATTTTGTTCTAAAGAAATAAGCTAGAAAACACGTGAAAATGGTATGCAAATACAGTGAATAAGGCAACTAGACATATGAAAGGACAGAATTAAGCATAACACAAAATTTGCAAAGCAAATAATTTAAAATGTACTTTGAAAAACAAAAGAAAAAATTCTATTAAACTAAGCTCAATACCTTAAGATCACATTAAGAAAAGAAAACTAACAAACAAATGAATCAATGAACTCAAAAGAACCCAAAACATCACAACAAAGGACATCTTTCTGCTGCTGTGATGAGAATTACTTACATTTCAAGAACATCATTCAATTTTTCTTCAGACATATCTATTTTAAAACTCAATATCATGATGAAAAAAAGAATCTATTCTCCTGTTATGAGATCCAGGGAGTCTTGCTCATACCTAACAGACTGGGAATTGCACACTGTAACCCCCACAACATCTCTGTCAACATCATCAGCGGTGGCTGCTGTCAATAGAAGCGGACATCAGTGAGTCAGCGCGCTGTTGTTATGTGCAGCAAACAGGTGAAAACAATCAGCGAGCCACACAGACCAAGGGCTGCAGGGGAGAAAAGACAGAACGCGTAAACATCCTTTGAAAGGAGGAGAGAAATGAAAAGGTTCGGCATTGAGGGCAGTGGGGGAATAGTCCTGGTAAAGGGAGGGAAAATGATGGAACCAAAGAATCATAAATCCTTTCATATTTACTTTAAAAAAAAAAGACGAAATCCCTCAAAGGAAAAAAAAAAAAGACTATGATAAGATCATATTAGAGAAAATCAGGAAATCCTTGCGGTTTGCCCTCACCAGCTGCTTTTGGGTTCAGCTTTCATTCCTCCTCATTTGCTTTGCTTCTATAGCGCGCATAGCTGGAATACTGCCGTTTCAAGTTTGCATGTTCTTACCTCCCATTGTGCCACTACTGTCGACTAAAGAGCAGCAGATCTTTGCCAATTTTCTACTTTATTGTACCGTCTGTAAACCTGGAAAATTAAATTTATTCCTTTTCCTGCTTATTTTCTGTATAGCAGCTGGAAATTTAGACATTCTGAATCAAAAAAGCTATTTTAAGCCTCCTGTATACGAAGCTTTATTTGCCGGTGTTACACAGTATAACTAACCTCAGATTTTAATGCTGGGTAATTACCCAGGGATGTAGGCTGAATGCTGGGGCTTCAATCACAGAGCTGTCCCCTTGGCTCTATGGTTCCCCTGCAGGAGCAGAAAGAATGTTCAAAGGTGATGATTTCAGAGTTTAAGCAGAGCCAACTGTAAACCACACACAGGCACTCTAACAGCTGCTTAGTGCATTGCCCTTTCAGGTAAAAGAACCTGTATGCAGCTATAAGATAATAAAAACTAATGTTTCTAATGGAGCTGAGGGGCGGGGGGGTCTGGACGGTCTCCTTTTCAGAGCTGCAAGCTTTCTATGTAAGTGAGAATAATGATACACTGAGGCAAAGGGGGAGCAGCGACAGCCCTCAGGCGCCTCAGCTGCATGCCAAACATAACACTCACCCCATCGCCCACTCTCTGCTGCGCCCCCTGCTTCTGACACATAGTGCCTCATATCGCCTTTTCCAAAACCGATGTCCATTTTACATCCTTTTAGTGTCTTTCTATTGGTACTTCCAGTCATTTGTTGCCCTTCCGTTAACAATATGTCCATTTGATGGAGTTTACCCAATTTAAAAGAAATATTAGAGTCTTGCAGCCATGTTTCATCATATCTAAATATATAGCCTGCTTTTGCACTTAGTGATCTTATAAAATTCATCATTGTTTTGCATATTTTATTTCTGAATTATTGCTCAGTGTTTCACAGAAATCATAACTCCAAAGATGACAAAAACATTAAAGATGACTGAAATCCTCCTTTATTGTTCAAAATGGTGACAGTTACCAATTAAAATGTGTTTCTATCCCTGTCCTCTGTTCACATTATTCTCTTACTTGACTAAATCTGCAGCCTATGTCTAGATGGATTCAGTAAATTAAATTCAATAAATCAATCTAATTGAGTGAAAGTATTAATAACCTTTGTGCTCCTATAGTTGATGCAAAATTTAGGCTCCTTTGATGTTGATTTTTTAAGTAAAATTCATAAGATCCAATAAATCTCACAACACATTTAGCTTTTGGATTCTGTAGTCTTACTCTAATTGAGGGTTTTCTTCATGTTCTTTTTAATTGAGCCTGTATTTCAGTCGATTATGACCTTTTAATAGCCTCTTAAGACCTGAAAATTCACAGACGATGTTGTGATTAACCCATTCCATTAGTATTTCTACTGAGAGCATCTCTTTGTTGGGGTGAGACAATTACTGAATGCACCTTTCAGAATGTGTATTATATAGCATATGTTCAGACTGACAGCATTAAGAGTTACCGGCTGAAAACACAAAAGGAAGGAGAGAAAGGGATGTAAAGAGATAGTGGATTTACATAGAATTGAAGGTTTTGTCCCTGGGATCATTCAGAGGTGTAATTTTGGCTTAATGGTTGCGTGAGAAGCAAAAATCAGTGCTATTAGAGGACAGCCTGTCAGTATTTGGGGGAGAAGGTGGAGATGGGAGAGGATTTCATTAGTTTGTCCTTTTCATCTGCTCCTTTACCCTTGGCTTTGCTCATCAGCTAAATGCTGTTTTGACAAAGCCACAATCAAAAATGATTGTGATATAAAACAAGGGAATCTCACTCAACTGTCATCTCACTTTCCTTTTTTCCAAATTCAGACCAATATGCATGATCAGAACCAACAGGTTGGAACAGGTTTGGATTTGTTCTGCCTGTCCTGCAGCATCTTCCATTTTCTTCTTGCTCCCAGTTTATG